TTCATCAGAGTCTCTGCATTCAGAAGACTCAGGCCACTGAAGCCTGGCTCCTCAGGAAATTCCATCACCTTAACAACAAGAACCTACTGTATAGCACACGAACTATATTCAGTATCTTATAATAACCTATAATGGAAAAGAATCTGAAAAAGAATATATATATCTACCAGGTTGGCCAAAAAGTGCCTTTGGTTTTTAAGTAAAAATAAAAGACACATTTTTTCATTTTCACCAAGAACTTTATTGAACAACATATTCACCCTTTTGTTCCACTACCTTCTGCCATTTTTCAGGCAACTTCATAATTCTATCTTCCCAAAACTTTTTATTTTTTGAGCAAAGAACTGTTCCAGGTGCCTTTTACATTCCTCCAGGGAACTGAAATTTTTTCCATTAAGAGAATTTTGTAAAGACCGAAATAAATGGAAATCCGAAGGTGAATGTGTGGTGAATATGGAGGATGAATCAGAACTTCCCAGCCAAACTGTAACAGTTTTTGTCTGGTCATCAAAGAAATATGCGGTCTTGCGTTATCCTCATGGAAGATTATGCGTTTTCTGTTGACTAGTTCCGGATGCTTTTTGTCGAGTGCTGCTTTCAGTTGGTCTAATTGGGAGCAGTACTTGTTGGAATTAATCGTTTGGTTTCCCAGAAGGAGCTCATAATAGAGGACTCCCTTCCAATCCCACCATATACACAACATCACCTTCTTTGGATGAAGACCGTCCTTTGGTGTGGTTGGTGGTGTTCATTTCGCTTGACCCACGATCTCTTCCATTCCACGTTATTGTACAGTATCTGTAAACCCACCTAACATGATTCAAAATGGGGTAATACCTGTCAAGGGCACCTATTAAGTCTCTTTCAGACACCCGAGACCTGGAAAATTACTGAAGACTGCAAGTCTATTCTCCGAAAAACCACATCCTATAGACACACAGCCAGCCCCGGTACTGCTGTGGACCAGAATATACATGAACCCACCTCCTTTTCCTGCACCTTGCCCTTTGAAGCCTAATAAAAGATTCAAACCCCACCCTTTGGGGCCAATGCCACCCTATGTGTCTGGCCCCTTTCCTCCCTTGGAAAGTGGAGGAATAAAAACTTTCGTTTCTTCCGTTGTTAATATTTCTGTGAATTCTTTCACAACCCATGTCGGCTCACCTAACAGTATCCACTTTTCAGCGCCCATCACAATTTGTTTTAAAAATGGAACGTTTTCATTACGTTTAAGTAGAGAATTGCATGCGGAAATATGGTCAAGAAGTTTCTTTTCCCTCCGCTTAACTTATGTGGAACCCAAACATCAAAGTGATTAACGTAACCAAGCTGGTGCAAATGATTTTCAACGCTTGAGTTGGGTATTTTGAGTATGTCGGCTATCTCCCGCGTGGTATAAAGTTGATTGTTTTTAATTAATGTCTCGATTTGATCGCTATCAACTTCAACTGGTTTACCCGACTGTGGAGCATTGTCCAGTGAGAAATCTCCAGCATGAAACTTCGCACACCACTTTTGACGTGTTCGATCAGTCACAGCACCTTCTCCATACACTGCTCAAATCTTGTTTTGCGTTTCGGTTGCGTTTTTACCTTTCCTAAAATAATAAAGCATAATATGCCAAAAATGTTGCTTTTTTCCTTCCATCTTCAATATTAAAATGGCTACACAAAAATTCACCAATTTCGATAACTCTTTTTTAAAATGCATGCTGATATGACAGCTGTCACATACAATCTAACAAAATCATTTTGAATGAAGTTAAAGACAACTAAGTGCTACTAGAGCCATCTTACGGAAAAAAACGAACGAACCTTTTGGCCAACCCAATATATATATTACACAACATTGTAAGTTAACTATACTTCAATTTTTTAAAAATGGTTAAAAAATTCCATCACCTTAGGGGAGACACTCTGCATGAGGGGTCCAAGCTAAGAGGGGCAATAATGTTTCTGCAAAGGTCCCCAACTAACATCTTGATTCAAAAAATATCTATCGTTTGTCTAAACCAAGTGCCAGCGCTAAATGCCAAGCCCTGGGATGCTGATGTGACCATCACATGGTTCCTCAAGTACTCTAGTAGGTGCGGGAGGCAAATGCAGATGCAGAACTACAGTCCATAGTGAAGAGGACTCTTACAGAGGAGACAAGGACTTGGAGGAGCTCTAAAGAAAGGAACAGCTAGCCTTGTAGTAGAGAGAACATGGGGCTGTTTCTTACAGGATTAACAGAATCGCCAGGCAGATAAGTGCAAAAAACAAAAACAAACAAACAAACAAAAACCCCAAATAAAAAACAGCTTGGGCAGCTGTAACTATTTGAGCAGACACTCTGGGCAGAGCACAGATTTTTCCTGGGAACTTGCCTTATCTTCCCAACCAGGAGAAAGATGTAGGTGTTAGAAGCCAGCATGCCCCATGAGGAAGGGGACAAGACCCAGATCCTATCCCCAGCCAGAGCACGGTGCATTAATAAATGGTGCTCAGGGAATTCCTTGGTGGTCCAGTGGTTAGGGCTCTGCGCTTCCACTGCAAGGGGCACGGGTTCGATCCCTGGTGGGGGAACTAAGATTCCTCAAGCTGCACGGCCAAAATAAAAAAATAATAATAATAAAGTTAAATGAATAAATGGTGCTCAATAAGTGGCTGTCCAGAGGCTGGATGGATGCTGGACCTGAAGAGAAGATATGGAGAACAGGATGATGGTCTGCAGATATTTAACTAGATGTTTTGTGGAAGAAATCAAAGACTTCATCAATTGACTCCAAGAGGTGGAATTAAATTAAAGGGAAGGAAATGGGTTTGAAGAACAGTTCCCATTCCTGGATTTGTTCTTACTTGCACATTTGTCTAAGTAGTAGCTTTCTTTTTTTCTTTTTTTTTTTTTTTTTTTTTTGCGGTACGCGGGCCTCTCACTGTTGTGGCCTCTCCCGTTGCGGAGCACAGGCTCCGGAAGCGCAGGCTCAGCGGCCATGGTCACGGGCCCAGCCGCTCCGCGGCATGTGGGATCTTCCCGGACTGGGGCACAAACCCATGTCCCCTGCATTAGCAGGCGGACTGTCAATCACTGCGCCACCAGGGAAGCCCTAAGTAGTAGCTTTCTAAAGATTAGAGGCCTCAGTGAGAATTCTTTTTAACTTTTTTTTTTTTCCTGGCCTCACAGCTTGAAGGATCTTTATTCCCCCCCGAGGGATTGAACGCGGGCCCTTGGCACTGAAAGCGTGGAGTCCTAACCCCTGGACCACCAGGGAATTCCCTCAATAAAAGTCCTTAAGTGCTAAGAGGACTCTACTCTCTTGGAGCTGTGAAGGCGGTTTGGGAGGAGACAACGTTAAACACTTACACTGTAACTTAATGTCAGCTGTGAAAAGAGTTATGAAGGAGAAGCGTACGGTGCTATATGTTCTCATAACGGGGGCAGTGGTCCAGTAGTTCTGAGTAGGGGACACTGGAGATCTCGAGGACAGTGTTAATTAAGGGAAGAGTGCTGGTTGTAGTGAGGGTGGGGTGGCAGAGACAGGGCTCTAGGCAGTGGAACAGCCTGTGCAAAAGCCCAGAAGAGAAAAAGTGCAGGGCTTATTTAGGGAACAAAGATCCTAGGAGGGATGAGTAAGGTAAGGCTGGAGAGGTATACAGGGATTAGACCATGTAGGGCTTAGTTGGCCACAATTCAGATTTTGAGGGTATGGAACACAGTTTTTGTTTGTTTGGCTTGCGGGATCTAGTTCTCCGACCACGTATTGAACCTGGAGCCATGGCAGTGAAAGTACCGAGTCCTAAGCACTAGACGCCAGGGAATTCCCTGGCGTTGTTGGTTGGTTTTGTGTTTTTTTTTTTGCGGTTCGCGGGCCTCTCACTGTTGTGGCCTCTCCCGTTGCGGAGCACAGGCTCCGGACGCGCAGGCCGAGCGGCCATGGCTCACGGGCCCAGCCGCTGCGCGGCATGTGGGATCTTCCTGGACCGGGGCACGAACCCGTGTTCCCTGCATCGGCAGGCGGACTCTCAACCACTGCGCCACCAGGGAAGCCCCTGGAGCACAGTTTTTAATTCACCAGTTTCCCCAGTACCTACTAGATTAGTGGCGCTCAAAATTTGATGAAAGAACTACTTTATCCTGAAAATAATGCCATTCACTTTTTTAAAGTATTTTTTAAATTTTTATTTATTTAATAAATTTATTTATTTTTGGCTGCGTTGGGTCTTCGTTGCTGTGCACGGGCTTTTTCTAGTTGCAGCGAGCAGGGGCTACTCTTTGTTGCGGTGCGCGGGCTTCTGATTGCAGTGGCTTCTCTTGTTGTGGAGTACGAGCGCTAGGTGCGCAGGCTTCAGCAGCTGTGGCACGTGGGCTCAGTAGTTGTGCCTCTCTGCCTCAAGAGCGCAGGCTCAGTTGTTGTGGCGCACGGGCTTTGTTGCTCCCTGGCATGTGGGATCTTCCTGGCCCAGTGCTCGAACCCGTGTCCCCTGCATTGGCAGCCAAATTCTTAACCACTGCGCCACCAGGGACGCCCTTGCGGTTCACTTTTACCCAGAACAGTGACACATAATTGAATTTGTTTCCTTTTTCTCACCTGATAAATGAGGATAATTGTCATGGCGAACATTCAATAAGGTAATGCACTTCCAGGGGTTAGCCAGCTTTCATCACTGAGAGCCGTGTTATTAGTGAAATGGCGTTCGACATCTTCCTAGAACTCGGCGTAGTTCTGAATGTTCGTTTAGAATCTGTTAGGGGTGGGTAGGTTGTGTCTGCTGAGTGGAAGGTGACGCTAGGGGCCTGGGGCTGTCCGGGTCGAGGTTGGGTTACTTCCTTTACTAGATCGGAAGCCGAGAAGCCGGAGGCCAAGGGAAGGGGCAGCTATCTGGAATTCGTTCGTCTAGAGATCCCACTCCTCCTCTAACCTTCGCTCCGCCCCGCCCCGTCCCGCCCCTCCGTCACTTCACGTCATGCCCCGCCCACTGGACCTCCCCTTCCGCTCTACGCTGCGGCTGCGCAGTCCGTACCATCTTCTAGACTCCTGGGCCCTGTTGCGTTCTCTCTGGTGCAGGTTTACTCCAGTTCCAGCATGTGGAGCCGACAGCGGGGCCGCTTCAAGCCGTTATGCTGCGGGGTGGAGGAGCTACGGTGCCGCCGGCGGGAGCGGGAGGCAGGTGCGGGCGGGCGAGGGAACACGGGAGGATGAGGGTATGGCGGTCGGAGTAGGGGTGAGGAGGCTTCCAGGGTTGGAGATGGGTTCTGGGTCCTGGGTGCCCCTCCCATGATCAAGCGGCTCCTTTGCTCCCAGCACTGCGGAAGGCACGGAGAGAGCAGCAGCTGGTCAGCAAGAGGCTGCTGAGAGACGAAGCCTTGGAGGAAGCCGAGGAGGGATGTGTGGCCATGATCTTCGGGGAAGCCGAGGTGAGGGGGCAGGGTGCTTGGTGAGATCCACACCAGGTAGCGGCAAATACCTTCTCTTGTACTCGAGGTCCGCCCCCAAACCTGAACTTGGTCCCTTCAATACCTCCTTCCGTCTAGTGGGCCAAGCCGGAAACCAGGGAATCATCCTCGACAACTCTATCCCTCATCCCCACATCAATACATCATCAAGTCCTAGCTCCCCCCCCCACTTTTTTTTTAACCTCCTAAAGAGCTGTGGAGTCTTTTAAATGGCGTTGCCATCACGATCGCCACCACCCTCTTCTCTGAATACTTAACAGCAGCCTCCTAACAGGTCATCTGCAGAAATTTTGCCTCCTCAAGTTAATTCTCTATACATCAGTCAGATGCGTCTTTTAAAAACACAGAGACCAAAATCCTTCCTGTGATCTACACAGTCCAGCATGGTCTAACCTCTGCTACTTCCAACCTTATCAGTTCACTCATTTCAGACAAATTGTCCTCTTTTCAGTTCTTGGAACAATATACCAGGCTCTTTCCTGTCTCAAGGCCTTTGCATTTGCTGCATCTAAAGTGGGTCTGCAGAGTATTAATCATACTAATTGTTTGCTTGTTACCGTTTCTCCAATTAGACTAAAAGGAAACTGGACCTTATCTTATTTGTCATCATTGAAAACTCAGATACCTATACAGTATCTGGCATATAGTAGATGCTCAGTATTTATGGAATAAGTGAACGAAAGAATTTCTTTCAGCTCATTTATTCATTCAGCAAGCATTGGGTATCCCCTGTTTATATTATGTTTACATATATAGTTTACAAAGTACTTATACCTAGGTTATACCATTTATTCATTGTGTGCTTACTTTATACCAAGGCACCTATGCTGGGTACTGAGGTACAGAAAGATGAAGAGAGAGTCCCTTTCTTTGACGTGTTCACAACCCATTGAAGGAGACAGATGTGCTCCTACCTGTCATGAAGGAAACATGAGGCACAATAGAAACCCCTGAGTCTTCCAAAGGGAGCCAGAAAGAGCTAACTTCCCAGAGGCAGTGAGAGCAGAAATCTAAAGGAAGTGGAGGACCTGGGGAGGGTATTCCAGGCAGAAAGAATAGATTATGCGAAAGCTTGGAAGCATTAAAAAACACGTCATGTGATGCGCAGTGTTGTTGCAGTGTCGGTTGCATGGGGAGAGTCGCTAGAGGGATAGGTTGTGTCAGGCTGAGAGGTTTAAATGTTATCCTTGAAATAACACAGTAAAAAGGCAGAGTAGATGTTATGCTCTTTTCTCAGGTGAGAAACTGGGGTTTAGTCCCCTGTAGCTTACGTAAGTGGCAGGGCTTGTATTAAACCCAGTTCTGATTCCCTCTTCTGTCCACTCTACTGCAAGGTTGACACTTATTGGCCATATTACTGTGAATGATGAGTTCTAGGAATAGTGCCATATTGAAGGGCTCACAGCTGAGGTGGGCAGAGCAGAACTCATGCCTTGCTTTCTGGCAACTATATGTTGCCATCTCTCTTCTCCCTGCCCTGGGCTCCAGATCCAGCAGTTCCTGCAGTTAGCCCAGCGGGGGACAGAGGAAAAGGAGAGAGAGGGGGCTCTGGTCAGCCTCCGGCGAGGCTTGCAGCGCCCTGAGACGCAACAGACCTTCATCAGGTCAGTGCGGGTGGTGTGAGTGTGTGGCTGGGTCTCTGAGGGGTGGACAGGAGTGTGGGGGGGGTGGGCCACTGGCTGAGCAGGGCTCTGGTGCTCACTCATGTAGGCTGGAGGGCAGCATTCGGACCCTAGTCGGGCTCCTGACCAGCAACCAGGCCCTGCTGCAGCTTGAGGCGGCTCGGTGCCTTCATGAGCTCTCTCACTCTGAGCAGTCTGCAGTAGTTGAGGCCTGCCTGCCAGCCACTTCCTACCTTCTCACCTACCTCTCCGGTCACAGCTCAGACTTTATAGTAAGCCCTGCCCCTTCCTACCTTGTTCTTGGTTTGGATTTAAAAATTGTGCTTTTGGGTCCAGTTTGAGCTGGCAGGTAGGCAAAAGAGGAAAACCTGTTTCTCCTGATGCCCCCAGCCATACACACACCCATCATCTCCCATTCCCCTGTGCCCCGATCCTCAAGGACAGGTATGCTCCAGCTTCCCCACTCCCACCCCTACCCCACCCTGGCCTGAGACAGGCCAAGCCCAGTGCTTTTGTTGTCCTGCTCTCAGGAGCTCTGTCTGTATACACTGGGTAACCTGATTGTGGAGAGTGAGGCTGTGAGAAGGCAGCTCCTGCCACAGGGCATTGTTCCGGCCTTGGCTGCCTGCATCCAGGTAAGTATCCACCTCCTTGCTTCCTCTCTGGGCACCCCTCCCCTCACGTCTCTCCACATGCCCCACCTGCTTTGGGTAGGCAGCTCCAGCCTCTGCCCTGTGCTAAGGGGTTGAAAGTCTCAGGAAATCTTATGGCCTAGGTTCCAGAGTCAGATCCCTACTCTGTCTGCTTCTAGTCTCCCCATCTGACTGTGCTGGAAGCTCTTGGATATGCCTTGTCCCAGCTTCTGCAGGCTAAGGAAGCTCCAGAGAAGATCATCCCGTAAGTAAAATTGAGTCTCCAGATGTGTAGGCAGGTGTGACCTACTTGGTAGTGTAGCCCCTGATGCCTGATCGAATCTTGTTTCCAAAGCTGTTGCACATTTCAACCCCATGTGCCTGACTGGGAAGAGCTTTGGGTTTGGATGCTTTCCCACCTGCTCTCAGGGTTTGGGAAGAGTGACTGGCATCTTGCCTTCTGTGGTTCCTACTCACAGCTCTGCTTCTACTGACAGCTCTGTCCTGGGCTCCACTCTCCCACAACATATGCTGCAACTGTTGCAACCTGGCCCAAAGCTGAACCTCGGAGTAGCTGTGGAGTTTGCCTGGTGCCTTCACTACATCATCTGCAGGTAATAGGCGAATTGGGGAAGTGCCACAAACCTCCCCTGGGGCTTCCTTCCATGACACTCAGGTTTTTGAACTTTGGTTTCTGGAATTGTTGTGGTGAGTTTTCCTTGTTTTATGGTCCTCTCTTCTTGGAGCTCAGGAAACCCACAGACCTAGGCCATTTGCCACCTTAAAGGTAGGATTGACCGAGTAGTGACTACTTGCTTCCTATTGCCCAGCCAGGTCAACAATGCCCTGCTCATCACCCAGGGTGCTCTGTCCACCCTGGGGCTGCTGCTGTTGGACTTGGCTGGGGCTGTCCAGAGAACTGAGGATGCAGGACTGGAGCTGGTAGGTGAAGAGGACAGGTCAACCTCTGGGTGACCTTTCTTTTTACTCAGTTCCTGCTCCAGTGTGCAGATTGCCCCTTCCTCCTTAAACCTGAACCCTAACTCGTCTTTGCAGCTGGCATGCCCTGTGCTTCGGTGTCTAAGCAACTTGCTAACAGAGGCAGCAGCAGAGTCTGTGGGAGGGCAACTGCAGCTCCGAGATGAGCGTGTTGTGGCAGCCTTATTTATCCTCCTGCAGTTCCTCCTCCAGAAACAGCCCAGCCTGCTTCCTGAGGGCCTCTGGCTCCTTAACAACCTCACTGGTAAGCACCATAATCTGCCTAGGCCTGGGCCTTTAGATACTGGGAATAATTCCTCATGGCCTGGGCTGACAAGGGTAGGATTGGGAGTGGGTTGGTTTCATGCCCCAGTTGGAGGAACTTCACCCTGACATTTTCCCTTCCAGCAAACAGTCCTAGTTTCTGCACCTCCTTGCTCTCCCTGGATCTGATTGAGCCCCTCTTGCACCTGTTGTCTGTATCTAATGTGGTGAGCGTGTTGGTAGGTATTGGGGTCACTTGAGTCCAAGGTCTGGTGACCAAAGTGTAAACAGTGGGAGCAGCCCTGAGCCCTCAGAAGTACCCTTAGCTGAGAGCCAGCAGGTGGTGTGGTATGGATGGCTTCAGGGCCAGACCATCAGTCATAGACCAGGCAGTCTAGGTGTGAGTCCCTAAACTGTAATTTACTAGTAACTAACCTTGGGCAAATCAACTAACCACCTTAGGCTTCAGTTTCCTCATTTATAATTGGGAATAGTAATCCTACCTGAGGGTGGCTGAGGGGATTACAGAATATGCATATAAAACTGCTTGGCACAGTGCCTGGGCATGTGGTCAGCATTCCACAGAAGCTATCGTTAAAATCTTTGGTTTTCATCGTTTGTGGGGACTGTGTACATATATCTGTCTGCAGGTGCTCACGGTTCTGTGCAACGTTGCAGAGAAAGGTCCTGCTTACTGTCAGCGTCTATGGCCAGGGCCCCTGCTCTCCTCCTTGCTGGACACGTTGGCCTTCTCTGACACTGAAGTAGTAGGCCAGAGTTTGGAGCTGCTGCAACTGCTGTTCCTCTATCAGCCAGGGGTGGGTTTCTGGCCTTAGTCCCCAATCCTTCTGTTCTGAAGCCTCTGGTCTCACCATGGCCCCTTTCCTTCCAGTAACTTTAGTCATTGCTCTGGGCCTGGCTAGCCTATGTGGGCTCCAGGTCCGAACTTCCATACTCTTGTTGGGAATGCATTCTTCCAAGAAGAGGTGGGCTAACCCATAAGGCTGTGGTAATTGCGTGTTAGCACTGAGGGACCCAGTGTTGAATCCTTTTCTTCCCTGCTCTCAGGCTGCCCAGGCCTTCTTGCAGCAGTCAGGGCTGCAGGCCCTACAAAGGCATGAGGAGGTAGCACAGCTCCAGGATCGTGTGCATGCTCTCCAGCAGACAGCTCTTCATGGGTGACTTGACTTCTCAAAATCATGTACTCCACTCCCCATCTCCCCCACTCCCCAGCTTCCTGGCCCACAGAGCCCCTTTGGGAGGTTTAGAACCATAATGACATCATGCCCTCTGCTCCCACACCTAAGCCTAAGTCAAGATCTCTGGATCCCAGCTCCTCCTGTTTTACCCAGCAATGTCCAGGCGGGAGGACCAGAGGGAACCCAGTGTGGCCTACTTAATCTGGGTCCATAGAATCTCCTTTTTTCTTGTTCTTTCTTTCTTTTTTTTTTTCTTCAGCAGCTGGTGGCTTTTCATGGGATGGAATAAAATAAGTTTTATTTTTATATTCAGCTGCTTTGCCTCATTTGATTGCACAATAAGGGGCAGTCGGTGGAATGATAAACAGAACATCCTGAGACAGCATTTTCAGCACAAGCTTTATAAAGAACAGAACACATTTCTCCACATTGTACTCAGTCCAGCAGAGCTCAGGCTCTGGGGCTCTTGCTCTTAATCCTCAGTGGAGGCTTCAGGCTTTGCCACGTAGCACATTCTCCAGGGCTCTGGTTACCTGATCAGCACTGAAGTTGTTCAAAGAGACATTCTTCTCTTGGCCAAATGCTGAAGAGAGAGGGAGGTGATTAAGTATCCGCTCTGCACTGTATGGGCTACCAAAGTATAATAAAAGGTCTCTGTCTTCAACTTACAGTCTTGGTAGGATAGGAAGGGTAGTAGAATTTCGGCTGATTCTGGGCAGTCATAATGGGAAGGAAAGTGTTTCAGGAACGTTTTAAGGGGCATGGTAGGCATTTATTATTAACCATTGTGAGCAGTGTATTACATGAGCCTGCCTTTTAATGGTACCCATTCAGTGGCTCCCATTGTTCATCTAAACTAAAGTTATTTGTGTCCATCTCCTTCTCTAGTCTACTGGCTTTTGGGAGGAAAACCTTTGTTCCTCCTCCAAACAATGTTTAGTGCATGGCATACTGCAGTTGTCCACTGTTATAATGGATCTGCCTTGGGTGTGACTCCCTGCCGTCCTCCAGACATTGCTAGGGTAAGGTTTAGTTAAAAGCCGTGATTAAAAATACCATTATTCAGTAAGTATAAATATTTATTGTGTGTCCCTATGTGTCAGACAACATGACAGTAATTTTCAAATTGTGGTAAAATGACACATAGGTAATATATTAATAAGTATGTGGTAAAATTGTATAGGGTAAAGGGGCAATGTTACATAACTGGCCAGGGAATGCCTTTTTGGAGTCTGAATTATAACAAAGAGCCAGCCATGGAAGTCTGGCAGAAGTGCAGTCTAGGAAGGGGGAACAGAGGTAGAAGCTCAACCCTGTTATACATACTAGCTGAATAACCAAGAATCCACCCCTCATATTAATTAAGGTTAAATGAGATTTAGGCAGGAAAGCACTCAGCACAGGGCCTAGCAGTAAGTGCTCAACACAGTCATTATTTTAGATTTTTACTATTGAGATTCTCACACTCTGTCTGGACCGGCACTGACCACACAATTTGGAAGGACCTACACTGATGGACTGGACCAGCATCCCTTCTCCCCTATCTGAAGCCTGTTCTGAATTACAAAGACGACAGCTCCTGATCCCTATGCAGGACGGGGCCCGCCTCCACATAGATGTTATTGGGACACAAAGCATCCTGTAACCCTGCGAATGTATATTTCCTTATCTGCAACGAGGTCAACAGCAAGTCCGAATTCAGTTCCTGAACAGGTTTCTGTGTGACCTTGGGCGGCCCTTTCTTTTCTCGAACCCTTGTTCCTCCACCGGGGTCTCAGGTCCCCGGCGTCCTCTGCTCACCGTAGCGGGCCCAAAGCTTGGGCTGCACATCGGAGCACTCGCGGATTAGGATGGGCAGGTCGGGGTTCGCCTTCTTCAGCTCCACATAGCGTTTCTCGATGAAGTCCCTGCAAGGCCGAAAAGAGCACCGTGCGTGCGGTGTGGGCGCGGACCTCCTCAAACACCCGGGAGGTCGAGGTCGTGACCCCGGCGTCCCGAAGCCCGCCGCCTCACCGGGCCGCGCCTCACCTGACTCCCAGGCTTCCGGGCGAGCGCTGGCATAAGTGGATACGAATCTCACGGAGGCCCGATTTGGCACGGATCCCCCTACTCGCTGCAGCAGCCGCCATCTCGGCTAATACCAAATCATCCGCCCTAGACCTTCCGGCCAAGTGATCCTATCAGACCAGCCGCGGACGCTCCAGCCCCGGGATAGGTTGGCTGGCGTAAGGGGCGGGACCAAGTTTAGCCAATGCCATAAAAGCATTGCGGATCAACTCTTACTCGGATTTCTCCGCCCTCTGTTGCGGCGGAAAAGCTGGGGCACGAAAGGCACTGTGGGTGGACTCTTGAGGTGCATTGTGGGCAGTCGCCTGTCGTTGCCGTGTTGTTGTAGGGTCCTCGGTCGTTGCTGGGTTGAAATACCGCGGACGAAATGCCGGAGCGAGATAGTAAGGCTCGGGTCATCTGCCCTTTCTTCCCCGCGGGACTCGGGACACTTGGCGCGTTATTTTGGCCTCAGAATTTAAGCCGGCTGTGTGCGCGAGGGTGGAGGCGGGCCGGGATGTGGCGCTTGTAGCCTGGCGAAGCAGTTGGGCCCCGAGCGAGGCCGGGCAGCTCCAGACTGTCCCTCAATCTTGTCCTTGCCCCAACCCACGACAGATGAGATTTATCTGTGAACCACCCCCAGACCCCGTCACTTAATTTTTGGTTCCGTAAATTTATCTTTCGTGTAGTATCTTAGGTGTCATCTTCAAGAAGTTTTTGCTAATCCTCCAGCGCTGGTTTAGGGGCCCCCTCCTCTGAGCTCCCATAGATCCTTGAATTTTCCTACTTCAGCACTTGTTACCCTGTATTGTCAGTGTCGATGTTCTTGCCTTTCTTCCTCACTAGATTGTGAGCAACTCAACTACAGGAAAAGACGTCTGTAGATCCCCAACCTTTGCACAAGACCTGACTCTAAAGAGATTGATTAAATTAACATCAATTCCTTTTCTTAGGCGAGCCGTTCTCCAACCCTTTGGCCCCAGATGGCCATGATGTGGACGATCCTCACTCCTTCCACCAGTGAGTGTTTTGATGTAGAACCATGGGAATGAGCTGGGTAATGAGTAAAGTGGTGGTGGTGGTGGTGAAAGAATTCTGAATGTCTTGTCAGCAAGGATGACCAAAAAATCATACCGCTTGCTCTTTATCTTTGTGAACTTTTAACTGGATCAGGCCAACTGCATAAGAGTATTAGAGGGGAAATTATGGCAGGGAGAGTGCTAGTTTTTAAAATTGATGTTTAATTACACGTTATATAGGAATTAATTCTTGTAGGAAATTAAAACATCAGAATAAGGGTAATGTTGTCTTTGATAACATCCCAATTCCATCCCCTTTCTTAGAGGTAACCACCATTACCTTTTTTACACTTATCTTTTTGTCCTACTCTTTTTAAATGCATTTGTGTACACACATTCATATCTGAGTAAAATACATCATTGCTTTGTGAATTAAAATATTAAAATTAATCGGTGATATATTGTCCATATATCAACTTTGCCACCTGTGTTGGGTTTTTTTTTAGTAATTTATTTATTTTTGGCTGCATTGGGTCTTTGTTGCTGCACAAGGGCTTTCTCTAGTTGCAGCAAGCGGGGGCTCCTCTTCATTGCAGTGCGCGGGCTTCTCATTGTGGTGGCTTCTCTTGTTGCGGAGCACGGGCTCTAGGCACGCGGGGTCAGTAGTTGTGGCTCGCAGGCTCTAGAGCGCAGGCTCAGTAGTTGTGGCGCACGGCCTTAGTTGCTCAGTGGCACGTGGGATCTTCCCGGACCAGGGCTCGAACCAGTGTCCCCTGCGTTGGCAGGCGGATTCTTAAGCACTGTGCCACCAGGGAAGTCCCATCCTCTCACTCATTCTTGATTTATAAAACTTTTTTTTTTAGTAGCCGCGAGCAGTGGCTACTCTTTGTTGCAGTGTGCAGGATTCTCATTGCGGTGGCTTCTCTTGTTGCGGAGGACGGGCTCTAGGTACGCAGGCTTCAGTAGTTGTGGCTCGCGGGCTGTAGAGCATAGGCTCAGTAGTTGTGGCACACAGGCTTAGTTGCTCCGCGGCATGTGGGATCTTCCCGGACCGGGGCACGAACCCGTGTCCCCTGCATTGGCAGGCGGACTCTCAACCACTGCGCCACCAGGGAAAACCTTTTTTTTTGGCAGGTGGATTCTTAACCACTGTGCCACCAGAGAAGTCCAATTTATCAAACTTTTTAATCGTTAACAGTCTGATGCATTAAAAGTGGCATGTTCTTTGTTTTAATTTGTTTTTCTCTGATTTCTAGTAAAGTGAACCATATTTTTTACATATTCCTTTTCCAATTCTTATTGGGTACTAATTTTTAAAATTTTCGCACTCTAGATCAAAACTCACCAATGAAGACTTCAGGAAACTTCTCATGACCCCAAGGGCTGCACCTGCTTCTGCACCACCCTCTAAGTCACGTCACCATGAGTAAGTTCTGGGGTGATCCAATCTGTTTCCCATCTCCTTCCTATGGAAAATTTATTGAACTAGTTATCTTAGGAACTGGAAAGCTAATTCTCTTTTGAGGTCCATGGTTCTGATTCCCTGCCTTTTGAGATTGAAGCTCCAGGAAAGACTGGGATGCTGTATGGATCTCATTTTTTAAAAAATATTTACTTATTTATTTGGCTGTGCCGAGTCTTAGTTGTGGCACACGGGATCTTTTAGTTGCTGCATGCAGAATTTTTAGTTGTGGTGTGTGAACTCTTAGTTGCGGCATGTGGGATCTAGTTCCTTGACCAGGGATTGAACCTGGGCCCCCTGCATTGGGAGCATGGAGTCTTAGCCACTGGACTACCAGGGAAGTCCCATGGGGATCTCATTTTTTCTCAGACTATGTTCCATGGACCATTTGTACTAGAGTTATTGCTGGTGCTTAAATAAGTAGATTTCTGGGTCCATTCTAGCCCCACGGACTCAAATTCTAGGGCAGATATTTGGGAATATATAATTTTAATAGTCCTTCAGGTGGTTGTGATGCTTTCTAAAGCTTGAGAACCACTCACCTACAAATATTGACATGGATCTCTGCCTGATTGAAACTGGTCAGCTATTGCTGTGGTCAGTATTCTAAGCCTTTCTTCAGTCCTCAAAGCCACTTCTTGGGGTTTCTGGGGCTGTGGCAATATTTTGCAATCAGTGAATTTCTTTCTTTTCTAGGATGCCAAGGGAGTACAATGAGGATGAAGATCCAGCTGCACGAAGGAGAAAAAAGAAAAGGTAAAGGAAGGATGGAAGAGTGTTGGGTT